TATATGCATTAGTCGCGAGACGAGGGACATGCTTATGCATGTTTTGTGAACGTTGGGTTATATGTGTATTTGTGTTAAGTACATATTCACTACTCGTGTGTACAAGCACTGAGCCCTGTTTACCTATGCGCATAGCACTGGTTGACTGCTGGTGCTGTGTGTGTTTGTCCTGTTCCGTTGTTCCACTCACCTGGTCTGCACACCCCATCGCTCATGGTTGGTTAGAGGTTCCCTTTGTAGTTGCTGTCTCACGTTCTGCCTATGCCTCATCAGTAGTGCTTTCGGGGTTTTAAGGTTTTAAGGGTTTTGAGTTGTAACGTTTTAAGTATTAAGAGTTTGCGGAGTTTTAGTGCCTATACTATCTTGACCTACCCCACCTTTACCGGTGCACACAGCCCACAACCGATTTCTTAAAATCCTAAACCTTAAACCCTAAACTAAACCCTAAACTAAACTCTAAACCGTCAGTCTTCTTGACGTGACGCGTCTTGTTGGACATGAATAACTTTCTGTCAGGCCCACAGAACACAGAACTGTAATTAATTAGGATCTCGAAAGGCCCCGACTCTAGGGTTTAGGGTTTAGAGATTGGGGTAAAGTTTTAGGGTTTAGAATTTAGAGTTTAGGGTTTGATTCTTGGCTGTGTGAACCATATTGAAACTTTAAATTGGCCGTCCAGGGATGTGAGTGTCCACATCTCTACAACGTTTAAAACTTCATCTTTACAACGTTTTAAAGCCAACCCTAATGCCCTAAACTCTAAATTCTACATCCCTAGAACCCTAATGTGGTTAAAACTTTATCTGCCCAACGTGTAAACCTCTTTCTGTTGTGATGTGATGTGTTGTGTGTGTTGTGCCATGGGCTGCTAGATCTGAACGCCATCAACGTATCACTGGACCACCAGAGGAAGCTCATGCAGGAGTCATACAAGGTACGCCCGATTGAAGATGAACAGTGAGTGAGTGATTGAGTGTGTGTGTGTGTCTGAGAGAGAGAGAGAGAGAGAGAGAGTGTGTGTGTGTAAGTGTATGTGTGTGTGTATTGTGCGTGTATGTATCACGTACACAATTGCTGTGGTAGGCGAAGTGTATTGTGCAGTCATTACTGTGTTGTAGAACGATGCGTTAAACCTATAATCATAATACCAGACAAATATATGTGTGTGATTGTTATAGACAAATATGTGTGTGATATTGTCATAGACAAATATGTGTGTGTGATTGTTATAGACAAGTAAGTGTGTGTGATTGTTATAGACAAGTATGTGTGTGTGTTTGTTATAGACAAATTTGTGTGTGATTGTTATAGATATATATGTGTGTGTGATTGCTATAGACAAATATGTGTGTGTGATTGTTATAGACAAATATGTGTGTGTGATTGTTATAGACAAATATGTGTGTGTGATTGTTATAGACAAATATGTGTGTGTGATTGTTATAGACAAGTATGTGTGTGTGATTGTTATAGACAAGTATGTGTGTGTGATTGTTATAGACAAGCTATGTGTGTGTGATTGTTATAGACAAATATGTGTGTGTGATTGTTATAGACAAGTAAGTGTGTGTGATTGTTATAG